ATTTGGAAAAGGGGAAAAATTCTATTTTCTTTCAAGGCTTTGTTCTTGATGGGGAAAATATTCCTTGGGAGCGGTTTGGGATCACTGCTGCTGGGGAGAAGGCAACYCCCAGCACCTCCCTCCATCCATCCTGTCCCTCCTGCCAGGGTGGGAGGCACCCAAAGGGCACCTGAGCCCTCTCTGCACCTTCCTGCCCATCAAAACTCCCAGCAGTCAGGAGATAACTCAGAAAAAAATGATCCAAAATATGCCTTAATATGATTTATTCCCCAAATTTTCACCATCCTGACCCTGTGAGCCGTCAGACTTCAGCTCAATTTTGGTCACAGAAGTTGAACGTAGATAAAAACATCAAACGTATTTTAAACACCAGCTTGTCCAAGACCCACCAGAGCACATGGAGCCCCAAGACACTCAAGGAAATCCCAGGAAGTTTCTGGAAAACCTCTGTGGCTTCACGGTACCTTGGTCCCTGCTGTGAGGAACCCCCAGGAACTGCACTTACTTGTGTCTCCAACAGCATTAAAGAAGAAAGACAACGTCACACGTTAAGGGATAACCCAAAACCACTCAGGGGTAGGAGGGGAGCTGGTGAGGAGGTTTTTTTGGATGGGGCAGCAGCAGTAACGATGTTTTTACCAACCTGCCTGGGTGTGAAAGCACCCCCTGATTCCCAGCACAGCCAGCAGGGTGGGGTTGTTAGGAAGCACACGGAGGGAGGGGAATTTTCCACCGTGTTTGCTCAGCTGCAGGGCCAGAGGAGCTTCAAAGTGCCTCATTTTGGACAAAATCTGTCACTTTGAGCCGGGAAAGTCAGAGCACAAAATCTGTCACTTTGAGCCACAGCTCGGGAAAGTCAGAGCACAAAGACACAAACCAGCGTTTCAAGGGTGTTCAGAGAGTTTTCCAATTTGGCCTCACTCTGGACAAGTTTCCAGAGCTCTTTTGAAATCCTCCTCCCTCAAAGAGGGCTCTCCTGGTTCTCCTACTGAACCCAGAGGGCAAACACTGGTGGAACATCAAAGCCAACAGCCCAGCACGGAATAAACACAGAGACCAGAAATAAACACAGGGGAGAACAAGACAAACCATCAAATGAGGGGAGACAGGAGGAGAGAGGAAAACAGCTCAGGAGGAATGATGGAAAGAAATTAAGGGAAAAAAGGAAGGAAGGAAAAGGGGAAAAGTCACAGTCAATGTATGAAACACAACGGAGTTGCTCACGAATCACAAGCATCAAATGACAATGTCAGACACCTTCCAGTCCTTTCCCTGGATGTCGGTCTGGAGGCTTTCCACAACGATGGGAATGATTTTTGGGGTGGGAAAAAAAAACCACAGGGAGAGTGAAGGCACCAGGAGAAGGGAAAGGTTCACAGAGCTCTAAATGAGAAATCCATTCATTGAACATCAGTAACAGAGAGCAACTCACGGTGAATTTACGCTGGAGACTGACGAGCTGCGAGATACAGAACCTCGAGTTTGCTTTACAAAACTGCACATGCAAAAAAACAAAACAAACAAAGAAAACAAAAAGTGAGAAAAGAAAAAGGAAAAAACAAAACCAACAAGAAAAAACAAAACAACAAATAAAACCAAACCAAACGAGCAGAGAAACCATAAAAGACATCGGGAGGAGACTCATTCAGGCTGTGTCCTGTTGGATGCACCTGGGGATGAGACCAGGAAAGCTGCAGGAAGGGTGGGAGCCACGGCCACGCCACCCTCAGGAGCACAGGAACACATCCAGAGAGTCCAAAATGGAACCAAAAGGGTGACAGAATGGGAAGGGGAACCAAGAGGCACAGGGTGATCTGCCAGTGCCATACTCACACCACCACGGTCCAGCAGGAGTGACCTCTGCCACCTCAGGGGAGGTCCTGGGAGAGCCACGAGGGGGTGTGCTGTGAATTATTTTTTCCATGTGGGGCAGGGTCTAATTCCTGCTCTGTGGCACGAGGAGGAAGATTTAGTGTGGAGCAAGGGCTGGAGACAGGACCTTGGGCTCCAAAATCCACCGAAGCTCCAAAACCCACTTTGGGCTTCAAAATCCACCGGAGCTCCAAAATCCACCAGAGCTCCAAAATCCATCAAAGCTCAAAAATCCACTTTGAGCTCCAAAATCCACCAAAGCTCAAAAATCCACCTGAGCTTCAAAATCCACCTTGGGCTCCAAAATCAACTGGAGCTCCAAAATCAAGCAGAGCTCCAAAATCCACTGGAGCTTCAAAATTCACCGGAGCTCCAAAATCCAGCAGAGCTCCAGCAGCTGGTGCCAGGCAGCTTCTCCTCAGTCCTGGCCTCAACTGGGTTCTTTGGAGGTACCTACCTCTCTCCTGGGACAGGGACTGGGATAAGCCTGGCTCAGACTGTCCAAAAATGGGCCACTGTGCCTAAAAACCTCAGTTCTGCTGCAGCTTCAGCGGGGCAGGGGGGCCCAGGGTTGGAAGAAGCTTCCTGAAGCTCCAGGAATTTCCTCCACACCATTTATGGGAGGGTTCTAAATACTGAAATCACCAAATTACACAGAAAAAGTGTTCGTTCTGCCTTTGGCAGGGAATCCACAGCAAACCAGGATTCTAAATATCCTGATCTTGGCTTGAGGCGTTAATTTTTTCATAGTTCTAAATGATCATTTTGATCGATCTACATCATTCAAAAAACCCTCCCCAAGCCTGGAAATAAAATCTCTTCACCTCCTGAATTTGCCTTTACAGTTGCAGCATTTTTCCTTCTGCTTTCATGGGCATTTAAATCTGTTAACAATCAATGTTAACAATCAATTCTAGCAAGCCAGAAGGCCCAGTTAAAATTTAATATTCTCTGGAAATCACGTAAGCATAGTTTTAAATGTACATCGATTAAAATTAATGGATTACTCTAAACAGAAACGTTGGCCGGGATAACACAGGTAACAGCAAATCCAAAGGTTCAGAAACCTGGARTGAATGTAAGAAAAATCCATAAAAGTTTTGCTTGACGCAAACCATGTGCTGAGAGGCCAGGTGAAGGATTTTAGCAAAACCTCAAGATTTCTGTGTTTATCTGATGCCAAATGAAACAGGAGCAGGAGTCAGAGCGGGGCTSGCAGGTCCTGCTGGCTGGCCAGGAAAATGATTGCTTGGTCCAGCTGGGCACCTTTTCACTCTTTGGCTGGATGCTGAATATGCAGGCTGGCAGCAAAAATAAACCCCTGACTGCACAAATCCCTCAGGGATAACCAAGAAATTCCTTTGGGAAAACAGGTGGGAAGCTCGGGATGGAGGAGGATGCAAGGGCTGCCCTGGTTTACCTGGAGGTCAGCGCCGAGCCCGTGTGGAAATTCCAGCAGCAGCTGTGGAAATTTGGGGTTTAACTTGGGAGGAACATCCCTCAGTGGGAGGCTGGAATGAACCTCTGTGTGTCCCTGCCTCGTTGGGTGCAGAKCAGGGTGGAGGCCACGCTCTGTCATTGTCACCTGGCCCTGAACGTTACAYAAYTCCYRCAGTTCGCTGCTCTGCTGGATCCGWCTTTTTGAGATAAAAATTTTCCTGGATTGGCACAGGAACCGCGGGGTTTGAAACACAGAGCYGAGGCAGATTCYYTTCCAGGGCAAAAAACYAAGAGCAGGAGCTGATTTYCACTGGGTGCTACTTACCAGGAACRGGGGACAGAGCCCAGGGAGTGGCTYTGGGGGTGGCTGGGGTGACACTGACAGCGAGGACAGAAAGGGAACCCCACGGGGCAATCACAGAACATCACACACACACACACCAGGGCAGGGAGAGAGGGAAGGAATCACCACCAGCATGGGGAAAAGAACACCTTTTGTGATCCACACCCCCCAGCAGGGCCCAGGGCATGGGCTGGGTGCTCTGGCAGTTCCTTGCTGGGTCCTGCTGGGTGCACCAAGCCCAACAGAGATGTGGAGAGCAGCCACGGCATTCCGGAGAAACAAGGAAAAATGTGGAACCTTCGAGATGGAAAACCTGGAGAAACAGAGCATCCCAACCTCCCCTGCAGCCCCAGAGATGGACAAAAGGGACAGAGAATTGGGGAAGGGACTGGGGTGCSACCTCCAGTGGCTTTGGGTGATTCTCTCGTGGCTTTTGTGCCTCGCTCCCACTGCCAGGCACCGTCCCCTGGGGGCCTGGAATTGAACAAAAACTGCTTTGAGCAACCCAACAGAATCCAGGCACAGCCTGGGGACAGGAAGAGGTCTTTGGAGGCTGGGAAGTTGTCCTGGGAAGCACGAATAACTCTGGAAAAAGCGGCGGGCAGTTTGAGTGCACTTTGGTGCCCATGTCCAGGAGATGCCTCTGCCACTGTCCACAGATTTTCATCCACCACACCTGGGAATTCTCCTCCCACCCAAAACTCACCCCTCACACCTGTGATGAAATGATTTCCAAGGATCTGGTTACAATTGTCATCCATTARTTCATGGAATTCATAAAACCCCAAACCTCGTAAGTCACAGAGTGCGAAAAGCTTCCCCAAGTGTGACTTGCTACCTAGTGGGATCCTACCAACTTAGGATTGCTGCAAAATTGCTGTTTTAAGGCTTTTCCCAGGCAAAGGTGAGGAGAGGGCCTTGTGAGTTCTGGGGAGCCCAGGCAGTGCTCCTGGCAGCTCCTTTTGTTTGCACCATCAATGCAGCTCCAGCCAAAACAGGAGAGGCACAGGAGGAACCCAAACATGGGGAATTCAGGCATCAGGGCAGGCAAAACCAKCAAAAACTGCTGTGTTTGTGCTGAGGTCTTGGTGTGACCCACAGGGATGAGCCTGGCAGCTCCTCCTTCCCCTGGCAGCAGCATCACAAAGCGCTTTGAACACCCAACACCTCAGGAATTGTGATTTTCCCAAATCCCCCAGRGCCCCCTGCTCTGTCCTGGCTGCCCAGGGAGCTGCACCAGTGGATTGCTCTGCAGACCCCTGGCTCTGTAAGGTCTCTCAGGACAGGAGTTTGAGTGGTGCAAATGGCACAGAGGGGCTTCGGGACAGCGCTGGGAGGGCTGGACACACCCAGAACTCACCTCCAGAAACAACAAAGCAAGGAAATGCTAAAYGGAAAACAAAAAATCACAAAAGAGAAGAATGAAACAATGGGCTCCAATCCAACACATCTCTTTCCAGCCAAACATTGCAAACTCTGATGGGGATGCATTAGGATTTCAGTTTCCCTATTTCCACATCTCTGTAACCCTGGAATTCTTCAGTGTTTAACTCCAGTGCTGAGCTCCTGCTCTCCCATTTTTACACAAAACAATTCCTCTGCAGCCCCAAACTCAAGGACACCTCCCTGTGCCAGGCCCCAAGAGATGGAAACAACAGAGAATTGGGGGAGCCAACTTGGAGTTTTTGACTGCATTGGCTGCAGCTGCAATTGGAGGATTCAGGCCCGATGTGCAAATGGACAAAAGTGAGAAAGGGTGAAAAASCCGTGAGCCATTGTCCATTGTGGGTGCAGCCCCTGGCTGGGCTGGGACTGCCCTGAATGGCCCTGAAGGCCCTGCAAKAACAGAACTGCTTTGGATTCTCTCAGTTCTGGCCAAACCCTGCTTTAGGTAAGCTGGATTTAGGCATCAACAGAACCAACGCAGCACCCTCGCTTGGCATCCTGAGAAGTCACGAAATAAAAAAAGCCCCCTCAGGATAGAGTTCACCAGGTGAGAAAACTCAAGTGTGGTCAGACAAATGTGATTTAGGTGAATCCCACTGGAACAGGAGGCAAACCAGAGAAATTCTCAGAGCTGGATGAAGCAGGAGCTCCAAACCAGCACCCCACCCTCACTTTTCATCCCGAGCAACCACAAAATAAATCTTTTGGGACAGAGTTCACCAGGTGAAACAGCAAGCTGTGTGAGACGAATCTGATTCAGGTGAATCCCATGGAAACAGGAGGAAAATCAGAGAAATTCTGGGAGCTGGCTGAAGTGGGAGCTGCACACCAAGCTCGGGATGTCGGGAGCGGGAGGAAGACGGGAGATAAACGATCCCTGCACAGCCCTGCAATGATGAGCCCGTTATTGAAAGAGATCCCCGGTGCCCATCAATCACAAAACAATTCCTGGCTCCCACAGCATCCAATTCCAGGTGGGAAGGTGAAGGTGCCTCTGCAGAGCCTCCAAGCATACCAGAACACTGGGTCACAACCATTCCTCATTGGGAAATGATGTTTCCAACTGTCCTAGGTTAGCTGARTATTGTATTCCTATCATCTGCTTATGTTAGAGGAAAGTTAAACAACCCTTCTGTAACTATACATTAGTCGAGACTGCTCTGGTTTGTTTGGTGATGTTCCTCCCTTCAAGGACAATGGGAGGGAAAGGGACAAGACACACACTTTTTTTTTTTTTCGGGAGGCTCTCGGGATCAGCGGTGGAAAAGAAGCTGTCTGCTCTCTGGGACTGCTCCTTTTTTTTTCTCCCTTTCTTTGACTTGTTTTTCCTCGAATTTTTTTTTTCTTCGTCATCTGAGAATTGGAGGATTCCCGTGGCACGACAGGTGAGAAAGATCCTTGAGTGAAC